CTCAAGCCTCTGTCCTGTGTTAAACAACACTGGAGCTTGGCCCCCTGTGAGCAGTTAGAAACCTGCTGGGTAAGTTCAGACTGTCAAGAAGTCTGGCACTGCCTGTTTCTAACATCAGGGTACTGCTGTGCAGGGAAAGTCAAGTGTTTTTAGGGGAAATTCATGCTGTCTCACACTCACTTCTTCATTTTTAGGGGAGATCTAGTAACAAAAACTCACATAGAGTTGGAGATGGAAAAACGGTGAAAGGGAGGATAGGCTTGAAGGTGGTGTGTGAATTCACAGCTGAGGGGACGGGTCTGTGGTGATGGTTGGCTCCTAGAGCTGTGCTTATAAAGAGCAGTGAGCAGCAGGAGGGAGATCCAGGCTGGGAGCTGCTGGTCTCCCTGATGCTGCAGCTCAGCCCACACTGAGGCTGTTGTGGGTCTAAACTCTTTACCACGGGAGTATTTAAGGTGGGCAGAAGGTTTTCTTAGCTGCATTTCAAAGTTAGGTCTGATTTTAAACACACAACTTGTTTTCTTAGCCTTGGCAGGACATGAAGCACCAGCAGGGTTTGGGGTCGTGGCTTTCACAGCCACTGTCTGCAGGGAGCTGGTTGCTCAGGTTGTGATGAATTGTAAGGCCACACTTAATCCATGTGCTGTTTTCAGTCATCCTGGTCTGATGACCAGGAGCTCCCATGTGCGTGGTTGTCTGGGGTAGATAACAGCTCTGCCTTTGGAAGGTGGAAAGTTGGCTTTGGAGTGGGATCACCAGGAAAAGGGGCTTTGTCCCCTCACCAGCAGCTCAGTTGTCAGGGTTTGGGCTGTATCATATGAGGCAGGTTTGGAACATGCTGGACACTCTACGGACCAGGTTTAACTTCAGAGCTTGATGTTTTGGTGAGCTCCTTGACACTGGCCTGAAGAGCAAAGACTAAGCAGGAGGCTTGGATTGTCTCTTAACACCGCAGTTACCAGCTGCATTACCTCTTCTCGTTTCCTCGCTTGTCTGTGAACCACAAGCTTCATTTTCTGGTTTTAAGTTGCTTTAAGGCAGCTTGCCTATCTAGAATAAGAAAGCTCATTTGATCTCCTAGATTAATGCCATCGGGCTGGCAGCAGAGGAACTGTGTGACATGCCGACGGCGAGCAGAGGTGTTCCAGCTCAGCTCTCACCGTCAGGGGTTTGGGTTCTATTTGATGTGGACCAGAGTGGGAAATCCTTTTCTTTAAAGATACCTCAATAACAGTGAAGGCTATTTTTGGGAGCAACACAGAGGATGTGCTCCAGGGGGGGGAATTGCATCGTGGCCTTGGTTAAGCCCAGCCTGACCTTCAGGCAGTGCTGCCAGCACTGCAGCATGTCTGCTGCAGGTCTGCAATGCCTGTGCCCTCTCAGGAGAGAGCAGCCCCACGCCTGGTCTAGCAGCTCCTGTGGGGTGTTTGCTGCTGGTGAGCACCCAGAAGGGCTGAGTCAGCAGGCTGTGCAGAGGGACTGTGCCAGCTCCCAGCTTAGTGTGGAGCCAATGGCTGTGTCCAACCTGTGCTGAATGTCACAGTGCTGGCTTGTGGAGCTTGTCCTGAGGCGCCTCTGCAGGCATCTGGGTTGTGGTTTGTATAGAAGATGTGTGTCATTTTGGGAGTTGAATACCAGGGAGAAAGGATTGCTAGAACCTCATCTCTTCAATGCTGGGAAGAAAAACACATTTTCTACATACTGAAAAGACTGAGCCTGGCCTTCAGGGAAGAACGTGTGTGCAACTGAAGTGATGGAATGGAACCCCAGCCTTCAAATTCTCTTTGACACCACTGAGATTCTGTTTCTAAAGGAAAAATGTCCCAGTGCGTCCCCAGTCCTGAAGAGCTCTGTGTGTGATGTTAGAATTGGGTGGTTCTAGGAATTAAAAGAGAGTTCTTGATGCTTTTGATAAGCCTGGGTGGCTTTAACTTTTATGGTGAAGTTCCACGTTTTGCTGATGTGAACCTGGAAGGGAGGTGTTCATTGGGGAGATCTGGACCCTCATTTCCAATCAGGATTCTCTTTTACATCCAGCAAAAGGGGACTGGCCACCTCCAGGGAACTGGGTGTGCAAGTGACAGCACCCCAGGGGAGCTGGCATGCTGGGGACCAGCACTTGCTGTTGCAGACAGGGTTTGCCAGAGGTCATCTGCTCTCCTGCTCCTTCCCCTAAACCAGCTCCTGGCTGCCTCGTGCTCAGTGATGGTGATCTGTGCTCTTTATGCTTCTCATTTCCTCACCTTCATGGCCACAGCCGACTTCATTTAGTGACTCAGAGGAGCCTTTGACTTTGCCTTCTTGCGACCAGCTCCATAAACATCCCTGGGACGGTGGGTCCCTGTTCCCATCGCTGCACTGCAGTCCCTGCCATGTTGCTGGTCAACACACAAAGTGCTTTGGTTTTCTTGAGGGTCATGACAGGAGATAAGTCAAACAGGTCAAATCCTCTTGACTGCTTTGATAGGGGTGAGGGGCTGGGGAGCAGGATGAGGTGTCTGGTGTATTCCTTTTGGAGATGTAGGCCTATGGGAAGACAAATCCCTTTAAGAAGTGGCCTGGGACCTCAATGGATGGTCAGAGCTGAGTCACTGCCTTGTCTGTGCTGGAGTTGTGCTCATTTCCAAGCATTCATTTGTGATTAATCAGTCCAGGGTGCTGTTACTGAGCCTTATGGGGTATTTTTAGTGAAAGCAGCCGCATGGCACAGCCCAGCTTGGAGCTTTCTCTCACCTTCAACTGCTTTATAACTCCTTCAGCCCATTCCTCCCAGGCTGGCTTTTTGCCACACAGCATCCGTGGCACTTCCAAACCTGGCTTTGCAACAGAGATTTCCCTCTTTTCCACATGCTCCTGTCTTGTGGGGCTGTGAGAAGGTGATTTTCCTGGAAGCTGCATCTCGGGAGGGTGGGAACCCACCATTAGCTTAGTGTCAGGGCCATTGGGTTTACATCTATATTCATCTCTTCCATGGTTGATACTGTCTAGCATAAATGGGCAGAATTCAGAGGGTGAGAACTTGGGTCATTCCTCATGTGTCACTGCCTGGGGGCTTTGCCCTATGTTAGAAGACTGTGCTGGGTGGCAGCGTCCCTACTGTCCCCTTCCCCTCCAGCAGCAGATCGATGCTGCGGGCAAGGAATGAGCCCAAGGCCTCAGGCTTGTTGAAATAGATTTTTATTGCATTTCTGCAGGTTTTACAAAAATATGACAAAATAAATTAAAAAGAAATAAATAACCCCCTTCAGTTCTGTTAAATTCCCAACACAATAAAACACAGAAAGGAATAAACCAACCCAAATGCCTCCCTCCTTGGCACAGCGACTGCCCCAAAGAGGGAGATCCCAGACGAGCGCCGGCTTGTAGAAATACTTTATTATAGGGAGAAATGGTTAAAAATGCCCTGGGCAGGGGGGTCCTGGGGGCAGCAGGGCCCTGCCCTCCCCTTTGCAAGCGGGATGGGAAGAGATGGAGCCAGGACTGTTCCTCTTAGGAGGGAAAAGGGGTTGAAGAAACTCTCTTTAAGCCCAGTGCGTGTTTGAGGGGGGCAAAGCTGAGCTGGCCCTGAGCACTCAGTGACATGGAGAACCAGGAGGCAAGGGCTGAGCTTTGGGCTCTGCAGTGCCCAGGGTGCTGCAGGCAGGGTGCTGAGCCGAGGCGGGGGGGATTGGGTTACCCGTGCCCCCAGCCGGGCTGGGCTCTCTCCTCCTGCTCTGCTTTCACTCTCCAGGGCATGGCTGTGTTGGTACCAGCCTCACTGCATCCCAGGATCCCGCCGCTCCCTTGTCCCTGCCCTCGCTTCAGGAATCTCTCCTGCATCCTGTGCTGCTGGGAGGGGGCACGGCTGGGATGGCCACTGCGCTCCCAGGGGCTGGCACCAGCCGATGGGGGAGATGGAGCCCATGGACCTGGAGAGCATCCACAGCACAGGAGCAGTGGATAAAGCCTTTGCCCTCTTCTGCCCTTATTGCTGTATAAAATGGCTTGAGTTGAAGACCAACACAACCAATACATGACATGTAGAGAGAGAAACAAGGATGGGGGGAACAACCTGACGTTTCCTACAGCCCAGGCCTTAGGGGGAGAGGGATGCGCTGATGCTGGGCCTGGACCAGGCACAGTGATGGTGCAGCCGCCGGAGCCCCCTGCCTCTCCCCTGCTTGCTTTGGAGATGGGTGGTGGCTGGTGGCAGCGGGGGCTGGATGGGTCCGCTCTGGGGTCCTGTCCCACAGAGCGAAGCAGCAGCGTGCAGAGCCGCGGCTGTTAGCGCTGGGAGTGCACCCGGCGCGGTAGAACCGGCCCCGGCAGAAGCGAAGCTGCTCCCACCCCCTCCGTGCCCCTGCCCCTGCCCGGGGCTCGCGTTCCCCCAGGCTCCGGCACAACCCCCGCGAGTTGCGAAACCATTCCAGGAAATGGGAAAGCGGAGCGGGAAAGGGCCGGTCCCGGCTCGCGGTGCAGTCGCTGCGGTTGCTCCCGCGCCCGGCCGGGCTCTGCCGTCAGGTGGAGCAGAGCAGAGTCACTTGCGCTGGGGTTGGTTTGGGTTCTAGTGCAAGAAATGCTGCCCGTGCATGGGAATCCGGGTGCTGGCGCTCGCCCCCCTCCCTCCCGGCTGGGCTTCGGGCAGGACAATGAGCGGTGCTGGGAAGGAATGCAGGAGCGGGATGCAGCGGTGGCTGGATGGCAGGAGCTGTAGGCACGGGTGAATCGGGCTCCTCTCTCCAGCGTGGTCTCATCCCTCTGCCATCAGAGACACGGTGAGGCTGGCGAGCTGATCCTGGTGGATCCCGCAGCGCTGAGTTCTTGTCTCCTCGGGCTGGACCACAGCATCTCCCTGTGGGGCTCTTCAGGCTCACGTCCGCGCTCACGGCACAGAGCCAGACTGGGACAGGTCTGGTGGGGCACAGGAGGGGAACCTGTTGGGCTGCTCTGAATCGAATCCACAGCCAGGTGCCACTTACACCAGCGGCGCTTTGCTGGGTTCCCTGGTGTGGGAAGCAGCGGGTCCCAGTGGAGGGGCTGGAGGGACACGAGGGGATGCAGCACAGGGGAACAGTGCAGAGCGAGGGGACAGCTCCTGGCGTCAGGGAACAGCGACGGGAGGTGAGAGGGTGGCGACAGCAACGGCTGCGTGGAGAAGGGAGCGCTCATTCCCACTGATCCCTGCTCCCCCACAGCTCCGGTTAGAGTTTATAGCCCCCGCTCTCCTCCTCCGGCCGGCTCTCCGGCTCCTCACGGCTCCCTTCCTCCGGCACCCCATTGAGATGGGACTTGCTGGGCACTGGCCGCTCACCCGTGTCCATCGAGGGGCCGGGCCGGGGCTGGGGGGGCGCAGTGGCCACGGCTCCATTGCCCCCGGCCCCTTCGGACTTGCCGAAGTTGAAGAGCTTGCCGGGATTGAATGGCTTGGTGGGCGACTGCACCTTCTCGGTGCCCGCGTCCCGCTTAGTCTCGGGGGACTTGAGGAACTTGAAGCTGAGGAAGCCAGGGAGTTTGTTCTCGCTGCCCGTAGGGGACTGGGGGGACCTGGTGGGGGCCGTGCTGCCAGCCCCAGTCCCCCCGGAGAGGAACTTGCCCTGCAGAGGGATGATCTGCTTCAGCTTCATCACGTTGTTGGTGGCCAGGAGGGAGCTGGGTCTCTTGGGCTTGTCGGAGCCGCCGTGCGAGCTGCCCCCAGAGCCTTTCCCTTTGCTCTGGCTCTTCTCATGGGCCGGGTCCTGCCCGGTGGCCTCAGGCTTGGCCTCATCCCGGCTGGATTCCCGCTCCTTGCGAGCCTGGTACTCAGCGTGTCGCTGCCGCTCCTCCTCCTCCCGCTTGCGCCGCTGCTGCTGCTGGAAGTGGTGCTGTGCCTGGCGCTCGTGCTTCTGCAACAGGGTCCCCATCAGCATCAGGACACCCTGCAGACCTGCTCAGCCCCAAGGAGGGGCCTGTCCCACCCCGGCAGTTCCTACCTTGAAGGCCTCACGGCGCTGGTATTCCAGCTTGGCCATCTCCTCAGCCACCCAGGCAGGAATATCGGGGATGGCCACTTGGATGATGTACTTCAGGAACAGGGCGAAGTGCTGCAGGGGGATCAACAGGGTTCTGGATGAGCATCCCCACCCCAGGCACTGCTGCCCTCTTCTGAAACACACCCCAAAAGGGATGGGGGGACTGGAGAGACCACACAAGAACAGCCTATGGGGTTAAGCGCCTCATCATGCACCAGGAGACCCTACAATAACAGCCGTGGACACAAGCACCCGTACCTCCAGCACCACCACGGAGATGATGGCTCCCTCGGGGCTGAGCCAGGGGAAGAGGCGCTGGAGCTGCCCACACTGGGCAATCAGGTAGCAGTTGACCACAATGGCCAAGACGCCCATGGCCTCCATCACCTTCTGCAAGAGCCACGGTGCCTGGAATGAGCCCCCCAAGGGAGGTGGGACCCCCCTGGTCCCCATCACCCCAAACCGCACCTGCCACTGCCCAATGCTCTCAACGCGCTGGCCAAAGGGGCGCTGGAGCCCTGTGCACAGCTTGAAGGCATCGCTCCGGATCTCGATGATGTTGTTCACCAGAGCGCACATAGCAGCCAGGGGGAAGGCGGAGGAGAAGAGCACCACGTACCCGAACTGGATGAACATCTCCTGGTAGTCCTGAAACGTGTCCTGGGGAGGACGAGGAGGAGGAAAGGCATTGCAGTAGGGATAGGGGGGTGAATGCTGCATCCCACCAGCTCCATGTCCCTGCTCACCTCATACTTCTTCATGCAGCTTTCCACCTCTGCCTGTGTCAGCTGCGTGGAGTAGTCCTCCTCTGGCGGGTCGATCCACGAGGCACGGTTGCGCTTCGTTCCTTCCTCCTCACCCTCCTCTTCCTCCTGGCTCTCCGCCGCCCTCCTTCTGCGCCCGGCCCGCGGGACCACTGCGGGCTCCATTGCCTTGACCGGGCTGCCGGGGGCACCTTCGGCCTCATCCTCGTCCTCGCACAGCTCGAACACGGACGCGGGGTCCATGCCCTTCTCCACCATGGTGGGGCTGCCCTCCTCCAGGAAGCTCTCATCCTCGGCGCCGCCGGGCTCGGGGCCGCGCCGCTCCGCCTTCTCGATGAAGCTCACCTTCTTGAGCTTGAGCCCGCAGTCCAGGGCGCTCTCCTCCTCCGAGTCCGACTCCCGGCGCTCCTCCTCGTCCTCCTCCTCCTCCGGCACCCCGCAGCCGCCGTTCAGACACTTCTTCTCGCCGCGGGGCCCTTCGGAAGAGGCCGGGGGGTGGCGGCGGGGGACGAGCAGGCAGAGCAGGGCCTGGGCGAGCTGGCGGAGGCTGCGGAGGTTGAGGTCCCCCCGTCGCAAGCGCCGGTACAGGTGGGGCTGTGAGACCTCCCTGACGTTCTGCAGGAACTGCCGGGTGAGGAGCAGCGTGGCCAGCATCTGCACGGGGACACAGGGACACGGGGACACGGCGTCACCACCCCCGGGACAGGACAGGACAGCGGGTGCGGTGTCCCTGCATCCCCATCGCCTTGTGCGCGGCGTGCCGGTGGCACCACCCCAGCCCCGTTCCCACCTCCTGTGACCCCCCCCGTTGGTGACAAGTGATGGTGGGACCTCAGCTTGTGCCAGCGACCGGAGCAGAGCCCGAATCCCTCCCGAAGGGCAGTGTGAGGGTCCCGAGGTGAGGTGCAAACGGATGCCGGCTTCCCCCCACCCCGTCCCCCCCCAGCCCCGCTCCTACTTTGGATATTCCCAGTCTCCAGCAAAAGCCCAGGAGGCCCTTAAAGAAGATGAGAGAGAGATGGAGGTGGAGGAGGATGAAGGGGAGGAGAGCCTCTTTGAGCTGACGCGCGAGGCTTTGGGACAGAGAGAAGATGAGCAGGAGCTGTGGAAGGGACAGAAGAACAGAGACAGAGACAGAGACAGAGACAGAGAGACCGTGAGCGGGGCCGGGAGCTGGGACCCTGCACAGCGCAGGCAGCAGCCAGGGACCGCGGCGGGGGCTCGCGAGGGCAGCCCCCCCCCAGGAAGGGGGGGACACGGTGACAGGGATGGGTTGAGGACGTCGGTCCGGACGGTGCCGGGGGGGGGCTCCGGGCGGCGCCGCTGCCCCCGGGAGCGGCCCCTCCTCACCTCCTTGAGCCGCTCCATGTCTTTGAGGTAGAAACCGATGTAGAAAAGACTCAGGTATGAATTTACAAACTGAAACTGGGGGAGACGAGGGCGGTGAGCACGGGGGGGCACCGGGACCCACCGGCCCCATTCAAACCCGCCAGTCCCATCCATCCCCTTTCCAGTCCCCTCCAACCCCCTCTGGTCCCCTCCATCCCTCTCTGTCCCCCTCCATCCCCCTCCGGTCCCCTCCAACCCCCTCTGGTCCCCTCCATCCCTCTCTGTCCCCCTCCATCCCCCTCCGGTCCCCTCCAACCCCCTCTGGTCCCCTCCATCCCTCTCTGTCCTGCTCCATCCCCCTCCGGTCCCCTCCAACCCCCTCTGGTCCCCTCCATCCCTCTCTGTCCTGCTCCATCCCCCTCCGGTCCCCTCCAACCCCCTCTGGTCCCCTCCATCCCTCTCTGTCCCCCTCCATCCCCCTCCGGTCCCCTCCAACCCCCTCTGGTCCCCTCCATCCCTCTCTGTCCCCCTCCATCCCCCTCCATCCCTCTCTGTCCCCCTCCATCCCTCTCTGTCCCCCTCCATCCCCTCTCCATCCCTCCCTGGTCCCCTCCATCTGCCCTCACCAGGACGATTTTGATGATGAGATGCTTCTCGTAGGCACTCTGCAGGCGATAGTTCTCTGCAAGGCAGAGGAAGGGGCTCAGGACGGGAGCTCAGGAGAGGGGGTCCCAGCACCCAGCCTTGCCCACAGCACCCCTGGGGGCCATCCCCAGCACACCCATGTCATTCAGCCAGTAGGCGATCTTCTTGTAGAGTTCATCGCAGGCGGTGACGATGATGGCCAGGAGGACCTTGGGGAGGAACCGGATGATGCGGGGCAGCTCTTGGATGCTCAGCACGAACTCCTGCAGGGATGGGGATGGGGACGGGTGAGGCTCAGCGTCAGGGGGTGCTGCCAGCCTGGGATGCTGGGATGAGACTCGCCTGGAGCTGGAAGCAGCCCAGCATGAGGAGGAAGACGAGGGAGAGGCAGGTGAGGCAGACAGGGAGGCTGACCAGGCTCTGGAATAGGAGGCGCTTCCATGGTGGGTAGTAAAACTCCTCCGCACTGGTCACGGGGCTGATCCTCTTAATGCCCTAATGAAGAGGGGGCAGGAGCTTGTCACCCTTCCCACAGCGGGCACCCCAAAGGAGCCCTCCGTGACCCCAGCACAGACCTCCCTCAGGGGCTCATTGTGGTCAGGGGGAGCTCAGCCAGACCCAAACACTGGGGATGCTCCCAGCTATAGGACCCCCCTCCCCCCCCCAGCCACAGGAACCCCCCAACCACAGGAACCCCCTGTCCATAGGAACCCCCTGTCCATAGGAAACCCCTCATAGCCAGGGCTCACCCTGAACTGTGGCCGCGGCTCCTCGATGGACTCGGCCGGGGTGTCCAACGTCCCCCATTTGTAGGCGAACTCGGCCCCGCGGCGCTTCCACTCCTCGAGGAAGAGCGTGGCCCAGATGACGTTGAAGATGGCAAAGACCACGCAGCAGATGTCCTGGCTGGTCTGCAGGAGCCACAGCACCCACTGTACCGGGGCCTGCCCCTCCTGGCCCCAGCATCCCCCCCCCCCCAGCTCTGGGGAGCCACATTGGTGCTGCTGCAGCTCCATCACCATGGGCTTGGGAATTACAGCGTTAAAGCATCATAGGGAAGGGCTGGAGCAAGGAGGGATGGAAAGGTGGCAAACAGCCCCTCTGACCCCCAGAAACAGCCATTCACCCCATTTCCTGACCCCTCTCACCTGGTCGTTCTCAGTGAAGGTGTAGAGGATGGACCCAAACACCGCAGGGTACACCATGGCCGAGGTGTAGAATCCCAACCAAGCAAAGTACATGGCGATTTTCACCCCAAAGTAGTCGCAGATCTCATCTGTGGGGACCACGAGGGGGGCAATGAGCAGACCTGGGCCACCCCCCATTGTCCCCACGCCACCCCCCCAGCCCCATACCGAGCGGCTGGGCCTCGCACACCGCCTGCACCCAGGACTTCATGAGCCGCTTGAGGATCCTCTGCTCGTGCAATGGGAAGACCTGCTGGATGACGCCGCGGGCCGCCAGCTCCGGGACTGCGCCGCGGGGCACAGCGTAAGGGATGGGACAGGGGGACACAGACCAACACCCCCGGTGTGCGTCCCCGCATGGCCCCAGCATGGAAGAGCAATGGGGAGGTTTGGGGTGACCAGCGTGGGGATGGGGACACGCTGGGCAGGTCCGTACTCACTGATGGGCTGCCCCTCGAGGAAGTGGATGTTGTGCAGCGACTCGCCCTGCTTGGCGCGCAGGTTCTCCAGCCAGTACCTGATGATGTTTTGCCGTTCCTGCAGCACCGCAGCGGGGTTCAGCCCTGGGACATGCTCCTACCAAGCCACTTGTGTGTCCCCATCCCTGGACCCGCCTCATCCCCAGTTTGAGGGGTGACTGGATCAGTCTCTGATCCCCTACTTCACCTGGGGAGGGCAAGGGTACCTGCCTTCCCTGCCCACATCCCTGCATCCCTGCCCTGCAACCCCACATGCCCACAACCCTGCATCTGCACGCATCCCTGCATCCCCACATGCCTGCATCCACACATCCCTGCATTCCGCATTCCCATATCCCTACATGCCTGCATCCCGGCATCCACTCATTCCTGTATCCCTGCATCCTGTATTCCCACACACCTGCGTCCCTGCACCCCCACATCCCTGTATCCCACATGCCTATATCTCTGCACCCCTTCCTCCCCACATGCCTACATACCTGTGCCCCCACATTCCTGCATCCTTGCATCCCCACATCCCTGTACCCCATATCTCTGTATCCCTGCATCCCCATGTCTGCATCCCCGCCTCCCTGCCCCGTGTCCCTCATCCCTTGCCTCCCACCTGAGAGGTGAAGAAGTAAAGCTCATTCTCGATGTTCTCATAGATGTAATCCTCCTCGCAGGAGAAGCTCCGCATTCCGCCTCCGAACTCTGCTTTCACCGGCTTCCGCAGCCCGATCTCATCGGCCCCACGCAGCAAACTGCAGAGGAGGGGACAGCGCTGGGGACACGGCGGGGGACACCCCGGGGAGCATGGCAGGGGCTGGGGACGCAGCCAGGACCCCACCTCTCATAGGTGGCGGTGACGAAGAAGGCGTACACCCGGGTGTGCTTGTGGTGCCGGACCTGCACGATGAGCTCGGGGATGCCGAGGCGGATGTGGTTGAGGAGCCAGAGCAGCGTGTGGTCATCGGTGGTGTCTGCACGGTGCTGCTCAGCACGGAGCACATCTCCCACCCCAGCCATTCCCTCCCCGTTCCCGCTGTGCCGCCACCCAGAGCAGCTCCAGCAGCTCCCTACCCGGGAAGGTCATGAGCACGTCGCAGTTCTCCGTGGGCACCGTCTTCATCCAGGCCTTGTGGGACATGATGTAGCGCCCGGCCTGGAGCAGCCGCTTCCCGAAGAGCTTGTCTGCAGGAGGGAGGGAAGGAGGGAGGGGATGAGCAGACACTGGGGCACCCCCAGCCCCTGGGAGCTGCACCCCAAAGCACCCAACTCAGCGGCCGGCGCATGGGTTGGGCACAGGGACACCCCGTGTGTGTCTGTCTCCAGCAGCGCCCATGGCAGAGGTCACGCTCCCGCTCCTGGTGACGCCGGCCCTGGCTCAGGTTTCTCCTCCGGCAGCTCCCAGTGCCCAAAAAGGCCCCCGACAGCTGCCGGGGAGGAGCCAGGAGCGTGTCCAGGCACCCATGGGTGCTGCTGGCCATGGGGTGCCCCCCTGCCACCCCCCCCCCCCCGCCACTCACCTCCTCCCAAACCCCCTCAGAGGGGCTGAGATCCGGCTCCAGGAGATGGGAGAAGGCAGCAAAAATGGGGAGAGCGGAAAAGCAGCCGGTCTCCATGGAAACCCAGGGAGGCCCCGCATCACCGCAGAGAGGTGGGATGGGGACAGTCCCCAGGGCCCCTTGTCACCCCCCTATCGGGTACTGGCGCAGGGACACGGCCCCTCTCCATGCTGCGGGGTGTGCAGTGTGGGGACAAGCTGTCCCCGTGCCCAGTGTCCCCATTTCACCTCCTGGGAGGGATGGGGACTGGGTGCATCCAAAACAGGCAGGGAGAGCAGGATGGGGCTCCCTGGTGGTGCTGGGGAGCCCTGTGGAACCCCATTTGTCCCTGCCCCGTGCTGGCTGTGAGCCCGGCCACCTCCCTGCCTCAGTTTCCCCATCTAAGCCAGGGTGGCAGAGCCAGGACAGGGCCTCTCCGGCTGCCCCAGGGCTGGGAAGGTCCCGGGGCTCCGGAAACGCTGCTCACACCGGGACCTGCCAGCCCCGATAAACAGGAACTGCCGGCACTGCTGTGGCAGCTCATCCCTGGGGATGCACCCAGGCACCGGGCTCAGACCTGGCAAACTCATCACCAGCCACCAGCAGGAAGGGGTTCTCAAAGCTCTCCCTTGTCCTGGCACCGTGGGTGAAGCTGGGGATGGTGCCAGGCTGGCGGGAAGCCACCCCCAGAGTGGGGCCAATCCTGCTGCCAGGGGCATGTCCTGCACCCTGCTGCTGGGGTACTGGTACCACTGTGCCAGGGACAGGGTGCTGGGGTACCGGGATACCAGTATGTGAGGGACAGAGTGCCGGGGTACTGGGTACCAGTGTGCCAGGGACAGGGGTGCTGGGGTGCAGGGCAGGTGGGCAGCACTGGTGCCCATGGTTGCCTGCGCTCACCAGGCCTTTCAGCAGTGCTGGATTCACCCACTCTGGGTTACGTAGGTCCTGGCATGGGCAGGGCAGTGGAGGAGCTGCACATGCATGTGCATCAGCTGCAAATCGGGGCGATGCTGTGGGGGGACAGGAGGGATTTTCCTGCCCAAGGTCATGGCAAAAGATGTGGATGAACTGCAGAGGGGTCCCCAGCATCGTGCCTGCACCCCAACCCCACTGGAGCTGAGCCCTGGGGTCCTCCTCACTCCATTGGCCCCCCAGTCTCCCCCTGGTGACCAAACTGGCACAAGGGGCTCACTGCCGTCCTGCAGCATCCCAGCCCACCCCTAAGACCTGTTGTCTCCCCCCCCCCGTCCACCAGGGCCCTGCTGCTCACCTTGGCTCTCTGGGATAAGGTCATGGGAGCTGCATCGTGCTGGGAATGACGCTGCCCCACCGCCGAGCGGAGCCCGCGGCCACCGGGGAAGGTGTTTTTGGGGGGGAGCGGTGATGCCGCGTCCCGGGGGGGCACGCAAAGTGGGTCACCCTCCCGCAGGCAGCGGGGCGGGCAGCAGGCCCTGCCTGCACTGCCTGGCCATGGGGACCCCAACCTGGCCGTGGGGGTGTCACCTACCCCTGGTGCCACAGTGGGGGGACATCCCAACCCCAGCTTGGACACCCCAAAACCAAGCCCTCACCCTGGCCTCACTGCCCAGATCTGTCCTGGAGGGCACTGAGCTGGTTGGGGGGGGTGTGGGGGGGAAAGGCCTGTCCTGATGGGGGCAAACCGGCCTTCCCGAGGGGACTGCATGGCCTCGGTGGGACACGGGGTGCCCATGGACCCGGTGCTGAGCCGCTGACTGCGGACACCGACCTGTGCATGGACCCCGTCCCGAGGGGGCACGGGCCAGTGCCGGGGGGGGACACAGAGAGCCCCGGCCCCCGCAGGACCGTGGATCCCCTCGGGCAATCCGGAGCCCTCCCGGGGGGTTGCTCAGAGCCGCACCGGGGGCTCGGCCCGTCCCGTCCCTGGGGAGCCGCATCCCGGCCGAGCCCCGCCGACATCCGCATCGAGCCGCAGGGAGCTGCCCCCCCCCGTTCCCCCCCACCCCGCAGCCGCAGCCCCGGCCCCGGCGGCCGCTCCCGGCCGGTGCCACCTTACCCAGGACGCCGGTCGGGGCCGCCGGTTCCGTTCGCTCCTCCCCGGCCGGGGCCCGCCGGGGCCGCTCGTCTCCGTCCTGCGCTGCCACCGGCGGCTCGGGCATGGTGCGGGGCTCGGCGGCGGGGGCCGGTGCATGGGGCCGCCGAGGCTCCGGGCTCTGGGCCGGTGCCGCCGGTGCCACCCGAGCCGCTGCCGCCGCCGCCACCGGGGCCGGGCGGGAGGAGGGACAAAGGCGGCGAAGCGGAGCGCGGCGTTCCCGGCCCCTTTAATTGTCTGGTTGGCCGCTGGCTCCCCAGCGCCGGTCGTACCGGCCACGCGTGTCCGGCCGCGCCCCGTGGGGTGGTTCTGCGGGGCCGGGGCGGCGGCGACACCCCCCTGGGCACGGAGCATCCCCCCCGGAGCCGCGTGTCCTCGCATACCCCCGGGACTGACACATGTCCCCGTTATCCCCCTCCCCCCCCCGTGAGTGCCCCACATCCCCATTTCACCACCCCGGGACTGCCCCACATCCCCACCATCCCCCCCCCGAGCTGCCCCCTGCATCCCCACCCTCCCGTTATCCCCTCTGTCCCCGGCACCCCCCCCTCGCTCCCATTCCCTGGAGCGCCGGAGAGGGGGAGTGGGGGGGGGCGGTAACAGGAGGGGGGGAGGTAACCCGAGCGGGGCCGCACGCTGATATTTCGGGAGCCCTCTTCTGCGCCCCCCTCCATTCCCCAACCAGGACCCCTCACTGTGGGGGGGGACCCCTCCACCCGGCCGGTCCTGAGGGTCAGCGCAGCCCCCCCTTTAAGCCCCTTTCAGGGTGGGCATTGGGGTGCGAGTACCCCCGTGCCAGGTCCCGCTTGTCCCCCCGCCTTGCTCCGCACACCCGCTGCTATTCTGGGGCAGGGGCTGGCTGCCAGCGCTGAGGAGCGGTGCCACAAGGAGCTGTCCCCTCCCCCGGCATCTGGCAGGGGGGGGACACGGGCTGGCACCTCTCCCAGGCCAGGCCTGGCCATTGGCCCTGTCTTAGCTGGGCACTGGGGGACCCCATCCCCTTTCGGTGGGTCCCGAACCCCCACAAGAGCCTCCTGGGACCCCCGTGAGGTTGGGTGAGGGGGCTGAGGCACTAAGAGCTGAGGGGGGGGGGCGATGGGTGGCCCATGGAAAAGCTTCTGCACCCCAGGGTGGGGTGGGGGCTCCTGGGGCCTGCCCTGGGGCCTGCCCTGGAGCCTGGAGGCTTGGGGGGGCACCTGAGTGCCCCAAAGCCCCTCGAGACCCCCCCCAGCCCCAGAGCTGGGCCCGCTCCCTGCTGATGCTCTGTGCTCGCATCCCTCATCCCTGACCCGCAGGGCAGAGGGAATCTGGGGGAGGTTTGGGAGATGTCTGTAGGATTTAGCAGAGGAGGAGGCATTCAGCATCCCTGGGATTCCAGCATCCCCGCCTGCATCCCCGCCTGCATCCCTGCCTGCATCCCCGCCTGCATCCCTGCCTGCATCCCCGCCTGCATCCCTGCCTGCATCCCTCCCCTGCATCCCTGCCTGCATCCCTGCCAGCATCCCGGCCATGCTGCTGTTTGCTCCTCCCTGCTCCGGCGCCTTTGTCTGCATGGCCGGCACCGCCTTCCCCCCACCCCCGGCCCCGCCACCGCAGTCGCCCGCAGCCCTCCCCGGCCGCAGCAGCCCCCAAACCGCTGCAAGCTGAGCCGGTGTTTGGGGGACCACAGGAAAAGGCTCCCCCAGAGTAGGGGGAACCCCATTGTCATGGCTGCTCGTACTCCAACCCCTGTGCACCGGCTGGCTGCCCTAACCCCCAGCCAAGGCTGTGTGTCCTGAGCAGGATGGGATGGAGACAGGGATGGGGTCCTGCATCCTATGGCAGGGATGGGAAGCAGGATGGGGAGTGGGGATCTCGCGTGATGCTGCTTGGAGAACATTTCTATGGTTCAAGGAGCAGCAGGTGCACTTGGGGGGGGTGGTTTGTGGGAACCCACATCCCACGATCCAGGGTCAGCCCCAGCTCCCGCTGCCGGGTGGGAAGCAGGGATGTGGGGGGGGACTGGGTGCAGAGCTGGGGCTCAGCCACTTGGCGGGGGGGGGCGGGGATTGCCCAGCGCGAGGACCCCCGAAACAGGAGGGTCCCAAAGAGCCCAAGCGCTCCTGAGGACAAAGGGGACGGGGCCTACAGTGGGTGCAGAGCAGGGGGTAGGAAAGGAACAGGGCACGGGGGGTTCTGCCCCCCACCCCCCCGGATACGGGGACCCCCACCTCAGGGCTCTGAGGGTTATTTGAGGGTGCAGCCGGGGGTCGCGAGTTTGGGGGTCCCGCCCGGCCCCGCACCCACAGAGCAGCACCGCAGTAACCGGGGGAACCCCCGGGGGGGGGGCGCTGCACCCCAATAGTCTGTACCCCTCGAGGGCAGCACCCGGGGAACGCGAGAGGGAGGGGAGAGAGCGGGGTTTGGAGCCCGGCGGGGACAGGCAGGGAACGGGAGGAAAAGGGAGAGAACGGGCAGGGAACGGGGAGGAACGGGAGGGAACGGGGAGGAACAGGCCGGGAGCGGGCAGGGACAGCCGCGCCCGGGCGGAAGCGATGGCTCCTGCGTAGCTTCAGACAGCGCGGTGTCATGGCTGCCTGCTGACCAATCAAACCCGGGATCTTGGCATAGAGCCCGCCTCTGATTGCGCTGTGACCAATGGGCGCACGCAGATGGGCGGGGCGACGCGCGGGCGCTGAAGCCATCTCGGGGTGCGGGCAGAGCGGAGGGGCCTCATGGCGCTGCGGAGGGCGCTGAGCGCGCAGGGGCGCAGGTTAGGGCACCCGGGGGTCGTGGTTCCTCGGGGTGGGGGGGGCTCCAAGAGGGGTGCAGGGACCCCGTGTAGCGGTAGTGCGTGGGGAGGGGGAGCACGGGCAGGGGGGGTGTCTCCTTCCAGCGGGGGTGCACAGGGAAAGGGGGGATGCACCCCAAAACAGAGGAGTGGGCGGGGTGCACGGAGGGGGCTGCACCTTCAGGACGAGCTGTGGGGGGAGAGGGGGCTGCACCCCTGCATTCTGCTGCCTGCCCCGGGCATGGTGGGGTGCAACGTGCGCCCCTGGCTGCTGGGGGGGCAGAGGGAAGGGTTTGCGCTCAGGGTCCGGTGGGAGCCCCCTTGGGTCTGTGGGGGCACGAGGAGGGGTCTTGGGCAGGGGTGGATGTGAATGGTGCGGTTGGGTATCCCTGCAGCCCCTCTGCCCCATAGAGGGCTGTGGATGGGGTGCCCCCCCCCACCCCTGCACCCCTTCTCCGTGCTGCCCGCCCTGTCCCAGGTGTGCGCAGCGCCTCTGCTCCGCGGCCTGGGGGGACACCATCTTCGCTCTGTCCTCCGGGCACGGCCGGTGCGGGGTGGCCGTGATCCGGACCAGCGGCCCCGGCAGCCGCGGCGCCCTGCAGAGCCTCACCGGCCGCCCCGCGCTGCCCCCGCCCCGCGTCCTGGCCCTGAGGCGCATTCGGGACCCCGCCACCGGGGAGCCCCTCGACCGAGGCCTCGTCGTCTGGTTCCAAGGTGGGCTGAGCAGCAGGGCTCGGGGCCTGGGGAGGGGGGCTCGGTGCGCAGTGGAGGGGTCTGGGTGCCTGGTGCCCAGCACTGTCAGGGCTCAGCCCCTTTTGGTTTCCCCAGCACCATGGTGAGGGCTGAATGCAGATGCCAATGGGGATGGTCCCGGTGACCCCTTTGCACCAGTCCTATATAGCTCCAGCACAGCTGGTTACTGGGGGGGTTGAGGGGGGGGTCAGGGCTCAGCCCCTTTTGGTTTCCCCAGCACCATGGTGAGGGCTGAATGCAGATGCCAATGGGGACGGTCCCGGTGACCCCTTTCCACCCATATAGCTCCAGCACAGCTGGTTACTGGGTTGAGGGGGGGGTCAGGGCTCAGCCCCTTTTGGTTTCCCCAGCACCATGGTGAGGGCTGAATGCAGATGCCAATGGGGATGGTCCTGGTGACCCCTTTGCACCAGTCCTATATAGCTCCAGCACAGCTGGTTACTAGGGGGGTTGAGGGGGGGGTCAGGGCTCAGCCCCTTTTGGTTTCCCCAGCACCATGGTGAGGGCTGAATGCAGATGCATCCCAGTGGGGATGGTCCCGGTGACCCCTTTCCACCAGTCCTATATAGCTCCAGCACAGCTGGTTACTAGGGGGGTTGAGGGGGGGGTCAGGGCTCAGCCCCTTTTGGTTTCCCCAGCACCATGGTGAGGGCTGAATGCAGATGCCAATGGGGATGGTCCTGGTGACCCCTTTCCACCAGTCCTATATAGCTCCAGCACAGCTGGTTACTGGGGGGGTTGAGAGGGGGGTGATCCCTTGAGCCCCCCCAAAACTGCCTGTAAGGTCAAAGCATGCCATGGGACAGGAGGGGCTGGGGTGCACCAGAGCCCACCCAAGCATCATCCCGGCTCTGCAGGACCCCAGAGCTTCACTGGGGAGGACTGCGCCGAGCTGCACGTGCACGGCGGGCCGGCGGTGGTGAGCGGGGTGCTGCGGGCGCTGGGTGAGGCTCCCCCTGTCCATCCTTTCCCTGCTGTCCCCCCGGGGGGGTGCCCCCAGCTCGGGGCTCACCATGGGGCCGGCAGGGAGCCTGCCCGGGCTGCGTCCCGCCGAGCCCGGGGAGTTCACCCGCCGAGCGTTCCGGCGCGGGAAGCTGGACCTGACGGCGGCCGAGGGGTTGGGGGACCTCATCCGTGCCGAGACCGAGGCGCAGCGGCGGCAGGCACTGAGGCAGATGGAGGGGGAGCTGGGCCGGCTCTACCAGCGCTGGAGCGACACCCTCACCCAGGTAAAGGGGTTGGGGTGCGGGCTCCGATCCCCCACCTGCATCCCGCTGTGGAGACAGCGCTGGGCTGTCCCCATGGAGCAACCTCTTCCCTGCTCCGCAGGCTCTCGCCCACCTTGAAGCCTACATTGACTTCAGTGAGGATGACAACGTGGAGGAAGAGGTCTTGTCCCAAGGTGGGGAGTGGCAGGGAAACGAGGCAGGGGCTGGGACCCCCCATCTGTGTTCTCTCAATGTGATTCCTCATCTCTCCCTGCAGTGGATGCCACCGTGCAGGCACTGGAGCAGGAGATTGGTTCCCACCTCCAGGATGGGCGCCGTGGGGAGCTGCTGCGAGGGGGGGTCCGTGCTGTCATCGCTGGCCCCCCCAATGTGGGCAAGAGCAGCCTGCTCAACCTGCTGTGTGAGTGGGGTGCGGGGGGCGAGTGTCCCCCTCCGTGGGGACAGCAGCCCCCAGTGGTCCCCCATTCCAGGGGGCCTGGGAGGGGTTTCCCTGGCATCATCCCCTCAGCCCTGTGTCCCCAGGCCAGCGTCCAGCAGCCATCGTGTCACCGGTGGCGGGGACAACGCGGGACGTGGTGGAGGTGGCCCTGAATGTTGGTGGTTACCCACTGGTGCTGAGCGACACGGCTGGGCTCCGCGATGCCACCGACCCCGTGGAGCAGGAGGGGGTCAGCCGTGCACGGCACCGGTGAGGATGGGGGCGTCTGGGCTGGGCTTACCCCCCAAACCCAACCCCAGGGTCTGGGGGTGGCTCTGGGGGGGCAGGATGTGGCCTCTTGCTCTACCTTATTATCTGTGTCCCCCTCTCAGGCTGCGGGAAGCAGATCTGGTGCTGGCTGTGCTGGATGCCACGGCAGTGCCCACCGAGCCAGCGGGGCTGGGGTCTGCGCTGGGGTCCCTGCAGCCCCCCCCCACCACCCCCTGCATCCTGGTGCTCAACAAGGCCGACCTCCTGAAGGGAAACGGGGGGTCCCTGCATGCTGCCTGCGCCCAGGGACACCCCATGCCCCCTATCACCTTCCTCTCCTGCAAGACAGGCGAGGGGCTCGAGCACCTCCTGGTGCTGCTGGCGCGGGAGCTGGCACGGCTGTGAGTGCGGGGTAGGCGGGGGGGACCCCCCCCATCCCACCCGGCTCCAGGGGGTGCTCCAATCCCTTCATCCTCCTTCCCCAGGTGTGGAGACCCCCTCTCGGGCTCGCCCAGCCTGACACAGAGCCGGCACAGCCTCCACCTGCGGCAGTGCATGGTGGCGCTGGCGCGGTACGGCCGGGAGCGCCAGAGTGACCTGGGGCTGGCGGCCGAGCGGCTGCGGCTGGCACGGAGGCACCTCGGCAGCATCACCGGGCACGTGAGCACCGAGGACGTCCTCGACATCATCTTCAGGGACTTTTGTGTTGGCAAGTGATGGGCACAATGCGGGGGTCCCCGGCTGCGGTGCCGCCAGTGTTGAGTGCAGAGGAGCTCGTGCCTCCGTGCTGGCATTAAACCATGGTGCCTTTTGTGGCTCTGGTGTCCTTCCCCATCCCTTGTCCCTGGTGGCTGCAGAGCTCGGTGTTCCCAGGCCGGGCTCTGGTGTTTTCCTGGCTGCGGAGAGCGTGTCCCAAGCCCCAGACATGGAAAAAAACACTGGGAGAGGCCCCATTTCCTGGCCAGGAGGATAAACAAGGAGCTGGAGTGGCTGGAAGGGAAAAGCCACCTCGGGTTTCTCCCCTGCGGCATCACATGGCATGGTATATATGGGGCTTGGCACCCTGGTGGGGTCCATCCCTGCACCCCAAGCACCCCCCACCGCCCTGGGAATTAGCGAAGGAATCTGGGAGCCCCCTGAGTTCAGCTCCAGCCCAGGGAGCTGTGGAGTCCCCCCAGCTCTTGCACCCAAGTGGTAGCTTTGGGCTCTGCATCCCCAAAGATGGGTGCTCCCTGGGGTCCCCCTGCTCTCCCAGCCCTCCTCTGGGGTTCCCAAGCTCTGCAAGTGCCCGATGCCTGTAGTGGAGCTCCAGGACATCCTCTGGCAGCGAGCTGATCCCCCGGTAGCTGGGACATGGGGGAGCCCCTCCATCACCCTGATTCCCACCCTGGGGGCTGGGCATGGATGGGGGTATCTGGTGCTGTCCCCATCCTTGGGCAGTGGAACCCAGCAGGAGCACGTTGCCGCCTGTATCCCAGGATGGATCCGGTTTGGGGGATCCATGTGGGACTTTGGGCACCCAAATGTGAGCTGGGGATGGAGATGGGAACGGGCCATGCTGGGAGCTGTGCGTGCGGGCAGCCCAGCCAGCAGGAAAGGCTCTTTCAACAGGAAGGAGAGGGAAGCAGGGCCATAAATCAGCGAGTGGCCGGCGGATTCATCACCGCCCCGGTGCGGCCTGGGGACGGAGGGGGCTCCGGGCAGGATGAGGCTGCCAAGAGCTTCCCGCTCGCTCGGCCTTGCACGCTTCCCGCCCCCAAGGAGAATGTGGAGCCAGGACGGGATGTTCCCACTCCCCATCCTGGCCATGGCCTCTGTGTCCCACTCGCAGGCATCCAGACACTCGTGTGGCGAGCAGTGTCAGTGCTCAGGGCTGGCTCTATTTACAGCTGCCAAGGACATGCAGGTGGGAGGTGAGCGTGTGGGATGGGATGAGTGCAGGGATACGGGGAAGGGTGGCCCCGGCTCCCGCTGCACTGGGGTTGGGATGGCCAAGGGCTTCCTGCTCACTCCCGGCCAGGATTTGCCGTCTGTGCTGCGGGAAGCGCTGCCTGGGCTGGTCCTGGAGCCCCTCGCTGCTGTGATCCATGCGCTGCTCTGCTGTTAGCCGCTGCGGAGAGGGCAGGATCAGACCCTGGTGCTGCTCCCCCCCGGTACCCCCCCAGCTCAGTGAGGTCCCGCGCCAGCCGCCCTCACCTGGGGATCTTGAGGGTGGACGTGTACTGCTCCATGATCTTCTGCACCGAGCGCTGGATCTCCTCTGTGTTGATCTTGCCTGGTGGGATGGAGCAGCCCTGAGCCGGGCTGGGTGCCAGGAGGGAGGGGGGCCTGCAGGGTCCCACAGGGCTTCCCCCCCTCAACTCACCCATGTTCCCAAAGATGCCCTGGTTCCGCAGAGCATCCACAAGGGTGCTTGTGCTGGCAAAGGGTCCCGGCCGCACCCGGGAGCCCGTGATGTCGAAGAAGGTGTCCATCTGTGGAGGAGAGCATATGGAGGCCATCAGTGCTGTCACTGCTGCCACAGCACCCTGGGGTGAAGGGGACCTGGGGGTGCTGCAACCTCTTGTCCTTGCCCAGCACACACAATGATCCCCGGGTGCCGGGGGGTGTCTCCAGCATCTCCCTCACCTTGGAGCCCATGCAGATGCTGAGCTGGTCCTTGAAGTACCAAGCCTGCGCGGCCGCTTTGCTCTTCTCCTCCAGCTCCTTGCCGAGCTGCTCCTTCTCCGCCAGCAGCTTCTTCTTCTCCTCCTGGCCTCCCTTGACCTGCTTCTCGCTGCCCTGCAGCCGCTTCTCCAGCTCCTGCTTCTCCCTGGAGCAGTTCTGCTGGCACTGGCTCAGGCTCGCCTCGCACACGCTCTTCCCCACATACTTGGTGTCCCGGTCCTGCTGCCACAGGAACAGCCTCTCCGTGCGCTGCGTCAGCCAGTTGAGCTGGTCGTGGACCGCGGTGCAGCTGTAGGGGCTGAGCATCTCCTTGATGCGCTGGAAGGAGTAGCTGACATCGGCCCGGAGGGTGCCGCACTCCTGCTTGTGCAGCTCCAGGTTGTGCCGGGTGGACTCGAGGAGGCTCTGGCTGCTGCGCAGCTCCTGCTGGCAGCTCTCCTGCTCTGCCGTGGCTTTACTCAGCAAAGCCCCCTCTTTGCGGCAGTTCTCCTCCTGCTCCTTCTTGGCCTGGGCTGCCTGGTCCAGTTGGCTCCGCAGCAGCACCTTATCGGCTGTACCGGGGGATGTGTGGGGTTGGGGTGTGTGCTCCTCCCCCCCCCCAATCCCGCCCCACACCTCCGGGTAACACCCATGGGTGCTGTCATCCTGCAGCCCCACCTGCGCAGCCTGCAGTGGGTCCCTGAGGGGTGCAGGGGGTACCCCGGGTGTTGGGAAGGGGGTGCCCAGGGTGGGGGGGTTCCTTACTGCTGCAGCTGGCATTGATGAGGCCGATGGTCATGTGGCACTCGTCCAGCTTCGTCTTCTGGTAGAAGATGATCTTCATCATCTCCTGCAGCTGAAGAAGGGCGAGGAAGAGGAGGGTGGGTTAGAACATATCCCTGACCCCCATGGTGCCTCCCCCTCCTCAGGCACTGCTGAGAGCAGTGGGGGCTGCTGAGGCCGGGGAGGATGAGGAAGAGAAGAAAGAGGATAAGGAGCAGGGTGAGGGTGAGAAGGGTTCCAAGACTGGAAGCCCCATGAGCAAGCCCTGGGACTTGTGAAGGGTAATTTGGCATCGCCAGAGGCTCTGCCCCCATCACCCTGTCATCCATCCCTGCTGAAGCCTGTGGGTACCCATCAGGGGTTTTGCGGTCCCTCCGCAGGGATGTGCGCTCACCTTGGGGATGGGGTTGGGAGTCTGGGAGCTGTTGCACTTCTCCAGCTCCCGTTGCACCTTCTGGGCAAGGGCCTGCAGGCTCTGCTTCTCCTTGAGGGTGGCGTTGAGCGTGCGGGTCAGGTTGATGTTCCTTTCACCAAGGGCAATGATCTTGCTGTAGCGATCCTGGAGCTGCTCCTCCAGCAGCCGGAGGTGCGTGTCGGTGCCTGCCTGCGCGTTGCCATACACCATGAACAGCACCAGCCCCAGGATGATGAGGAACTGGATGAGGGAGGTGAAGAGGAAGATGTACTTCACGTAAAACCCACAGTCCCGCTTGGGCATCACTTCCTTGGCCTCCAGACCGAACTTGGCCATGGGGTAGCTGCTCTTCTCCATCCCACCAGTGCTCTGCTCACCCCGAGCCCGGGGCAGCCCGGTTTTTGCCAAGCCGGGGCGGAGCGTTCTCCCGACGCCGTGTTTATATTGCTCCTGTGAATATTTCCTTCTGCCAGGCTCCTTCCTGCCTCTCCGGATGCTCCCGACCAGCTGCGTTATCACGATGCAGCTTCTGTTTGCGAGAGGACAATTGCTGCAGTTGCTACTGGGCAGGGACCAGTTCTTATCCCAAAATAGCCCCCAGCGCGGCCGGGATGCCCCGGGATGAATCCCCAGGGCAGGCAGGGTGGGATGCGGCTGCCAGCACTTGCTGGGGGGTGATGGAGGAGGATCCTGTGCTGGCTTGGTCCCGGTGCTGTGTCCTTGAGGTGGACGGTGGCACATGGGTCACCGCTGGGTTGGTGGCACACAGGGGCTGATGCTCTGTGTCCTCTCCTGCACCTCACAGGTAACTTGTGGGCAGGGGAAGGATGGGGCTAGGCCCTGCGTTGCCGCTAGGGTGGCCCTGGGCTGGGGTGGGAACCTGTGGCTGCGGCACCCATGGGTGCTGTCACGCTGTAGAGCCACCATCCAGCTGCAGGGCCTGGGGAGCTGCTCCTGGTCCTGGTCCCTGCGCAGGGACATCTCTGCTGGGCAGAGCAGCTGATGGAGGGGAGCAAGGGGCAAACCCAGAGCTGTCCATGCCCATGGACACGGCAGATGTCCAGTCTGCTGAGGAAGCCCAGCCCAGCTCCATGTGGAGCACTGGTGGCCCTGGCCCCATGTGAGGATAAACCCCCACTGCTGTACGGTGGCTTAGCCCAGCTGAGCATGAATGGAAAGAGCCACAGGGCTGGCGCTGTCTCCCCTGTCCTCTTCCAAACCTGGGGTGCCCACACCAAGCTGAGGGGGAGCCTGCAGGTGCGGGCTGGCCTGGGGATGGGCTGGGGACATTGAGGGGGGTGGTCCTCGATACAGGGAAAAGGGGCAGCAGCGGCGCAGGCAGCACCAGGGCTTGGGGGGGGGTGTTGTCTGTCCAACCCTCAACCACAGATGGGGGGGTCTGGGTTGAGCTGGGCCGTGCTGGGCTTCCAGCCCTGGGCATTTCCAGCCCGCGGGAGCGCTGGGATGTGCCCGGACCCCCCCCATCCCCATCCCCAGGCAGGATGCCCGGCCAGGGCTGTGCCGGCGCTGACCCCGAGCCGCTCACTGCTTCCTGCCTCCCGGCTGCACTGCGCTCCCTGGGGACCGGGAAGTGTCTGCGATGGCCGGGATGGTGTCAGGCCTGCATCCATTCACCGCTACCGCCGTTTCCTTCCTGAGCTGCAAATAACGGTGAGTCACCCCCTGGCCCCCCTGCTCCCGCTGCCGCGGCTCGGCCGGACCCCCGGCACCGCAGCCAGTTGGATGCTCCAGCAGCATCCCAAGAGCTCCCACAGCCTCCTGGGCTCACCAGTGACCCCCATCGGGCACCCACCCTCCCCCAGCGCTGCAGACCCTCCCTCTGCCCCATTTTCCACTTAGTTCCCCATTGGAAATCATGGGAATGGCTGTGCCTGCTTGTCCTCCCCATCCCAAATCACTGCAGGGCTGAGGTCCGTTGGCACCGCTGGATTCAGGGTGCGGGAATGGGGCTGGTCCCTCAATCTCAGGCTCTGCAGCCCTTCCCTGGAAAGCTGGGGGGCACAGGGGTGATGTCCCATGGGAAGCGCAGCAGGAGGAGGCCGGATGCCTGTGTTCAGCCTGCCTGCCCTCTGCACAGGATATGGTGGCGGCGGCGGCAGCAGGAAAATCGGCAACTTTCCTGGAAACCTCCTTCAAAGCGGATCAAAGATCCTGGGAAGCGGCTGCGAACCCCCAGCAGCCGCTGGTCCCCCATTCCCACCTCCTTGTGCCACTGGCAGGGGATCCCCAGTGCGACTTTGGGGTCCATTGTAGCGCCAGCGGTGGCAGAGCCCAGGTAAAGCCCTGGGGTGTGTGCGGTGCTTGAGCAGGGTTTGGGGGGAGCATCTCAGGGAGCAGAGCAGCCTTTATTGCTCAAAGCCATGCCCAGTCTTCCCAGTTTCTGGAATGCGCTGGGAACGTGGTGTTAAACCCTGGAACTGATTAAAGCAGCTCCAGGGAGTCAGTGGTTGAGCTAAAGCTCTGCCCAAAAGGCTGGGTGATCCCATGCTCTGGTCTGGCTGCGGTGGTGGCATTGGGACACACAACAGGATCAGGATGTCTGGTGGCATCGGGACATGGTGGGATCGGGACACACAACAGGCAGCTGGATGGGGACGTGGTGGCTTCGGGACACAGTGGGATCACTGTGACACATGGCAGGATCATGACAGGCAGCTGGATCGGGATAGATGGCTGGATCGGGACACACAGTGGGGTCAGGACACACAGTGGGGTCAGGACACACAGTGGGGTCAGGACACACAGTGACCACTCCCCCCCATCCTTCATCTGGATGCGCTGGTGCTGGTCAGAAGTGGCTGGGGCTGAGTGGCCGCTGGGTCCCAGTGCTAAAGGCTCCTGTGAGACCGGCAATGATGGGGGCTCAGCAGGCAGGGGGGCTCAGCCCCAAACCCCCATCAGAGAGGGGTCTGGGGGCTGTGGCTCTTCAGCCCTTCCTGCAAGAGAGGGGAGGGCAGTGAGTGGGTCCCTGCAGCGCTCAGGTGCTGCACCCCGGGGACACCGGTGACACTGGCACATCACGGTGGGTGACCCCCCCCCCCCGGCCATGCAGGAATACCGGGGCGGGGGGCACCTGCGCCCGGTCGCTCGGTTCCGCGCCTGCCGCCGCAGAGCATCCACCTGGGCCGCGTAGTCCCTCCTGCAGGACATGGAGGCACGTGAAGGGGTGCCCCTGCCCGTGGTCCCCATGGGTGAGGCTGGGTCGGGGTGATGGGATGCGCAGACATCCCCAGCCCATGCTGGGGGACAGGGACCTTACAGGGTGGCCTCGAGGTCTCTGTGCCGGGCCTCGCAGCGCTCCCTGCGTGCCCGCAGCGCTCGCTGCTGCTCCATCGCCTGCTCCAGCTGCTGCCGCAGCCCCAGCACCTGCTCCTCACCCCGCACCAGCTCCCCTGCGATGGGGACAGCGCCGTCACCCCAAACCCTGCGCCCCCAGCCCGGAACCCCCGCTGTCCCCAGTGGGTGTGCGATGGGGGACCTGTGCCCACCCTTCCCATGGGACATCGCTCACCTTCCAGAGCCGCTTTGCCACGGGCCAGCTCATCCCGCTCCCGCTGCAGCGTCAGCACCTCGTCCCCCAGCGCTGTCACATTGGCCACCAGCCTGGCCTGGGGACAAGGGTGGGCAGTGTCCTGCCCCTTCCCACCGCCACTCCATGTCCCCAGGCCGTGCCCATGCCCCCAGTGGCCTGGGAGCCAGGTTTGTTGGGGTAGGGATGAGGATGGGGGGAAATCCCTCTTCCCTGTGGGGATGGCTCTGCCTGAGCCGGGGGGGGATGCTGGAGCTCACAGACCCGGGTCCCCGCGGATGGCACCCCTGGCAGGGCACAGGGCTCCCCAAGCAAGTGCCCAACCCGGCGCCAGCCCTGGGAAGCAGGAACCCTTTTCCAGCCTCTCTGCTCCATTGTTCAGCCGGATGAACCCGGAAGGCGGCGGGACCCAGCTCTTCCTCCGGGCTGCGGCCACGGCGCTGGGGCCAGGCCCGTTCCCAGCTGGAGCTGCAGCTAAAAATACCATGGAGCAGAGGGATGGCAGCTCCGCACCGGCTCCTTGGGACGGGGTAATTATAGGTGCAGCTCGGCCACAGCTCGGAATAGCTGCCCCGGACCCGGCAGAGGCACAGGCACCTGGGCAGGGGTATGGGCAGCACTGGGGCTGTGCTGAGGGACTGGGACCCACCAGGGCTCCCCTTTTGGGGTGTCCCACGCACGAATGTGGCCGCACGCCCTGGGGTGCTGCTGGTCCTTCATCCCAGGGCCGAATCTCCCCTTTCCAACTTGCAGCATCCTTCCCATCAGTGCCGGCGCTTCCCATGTGTGAAATCCCTCCCCAGGGATGAAGCATCACCCTGCTCTCGAGGCCAGAACCCCCCTCTCCACCCCACCACCGCTCACCCCATGCATGCAGGAGTCCGAGGACCCTCCTGTCCCCATCCCCACCAGCACCTACCGCCCGCTCCTGGCAGGACCCCAGGCTGCCATTGAGCTTCTTGCTGTCACCATGGGCCTGGGCGAGCTCCCTGCGCAGCGCATCCCGAGCCCGCTGCAGCCGCGCTCGCTCCCGCTCCAGCTCGGCCACGGCGTTCCCAAGCTCCCGGCTCTCGTTGGCTGCGCGCTCCCGGCAGCCCCGCAGCTTGCCCAGCGCCTCGGAGCGCCACAGCATCACCGCCACGGCCACCGTCACCGCCGCCACCAGCACCAGCAGCGCCGCGCACAGCCCCAGCACCTTCAGCGTGGCTCTGGGCACCGCGGGGTCCATGCCGGAGGGGGAGCAGGGACCGTGTGCCCGCTGCAGCGGTGCCGGCCCGGCTGTGCCGGTGTCCCCAGGGCAGGTCGCTCCCTGGGCTGCTGTAATTGTGCTGTGTGGGTTGTCCTCCCCAGGCACCGCTTTGGGCTGCGGTTCCTCGCAGGTCACAGCCCAGAATAGCTCTGTTTGTGCTGGGATGCGCTGTCCCTGCGCCCAGCCCTGGGACACAGCCACAGGGACATGGGGGGATGCATCTGCGGCCCAGTGGGGGATGCTGAGGGGCTGCTACAGCACCCTCCTGTGCTGCACCCAGTGCAGCAGAGATGGGGCTTTGGTTCCCCAAGAGGCAACAAAACGCTGGATTTTCACAGTGGTTTACTGGAAATTGGTTAAAAGTCACTTAAATCCCTGCTCGTGGCAGAGTGATGGAACTGGATGAGCTTTAAGGTCCTTTCCAACCCAAACCATTCTATGATTCTATAACTAGAGTAGCTCTGGACAGCCCTGCCATACCTCTGTCCCCTGCTCACCCTGGGCACAGCCCCTAGTGGCTGAAGGGCCATCACCCCATGGTGAGCAGAGGGGACAATCCGTGGGGTCCATGCTCCTCACAGAAGCATCCTGGTGAGGAGGAGAAGCAGGAGGCTGAGGGATGCATCCGAGGGCCTGGTCCCACCCGAGTACAGCCTCTGCATGGCCTGGAGCTGCTGCTGCAGGCGCTGGTTCTGCTGCTGGAGCTGGTCCCTGGAGGGGGGGGACACACTCGATGACAGAGCATGGGGCTGGGGGGCACGGGGGGAAGTGGGGCTCACCGGCTGCCCTGCAGGTCCTCGAGCTGCTGCTGCTGCTGGGCCACCGCTGCCTGCAGCGCCCTGTTCTCCCCTGCAGGGAGCAAAGGCAACGGGGACAAGGTGATCCAGCGGATGGGATCAGGGTGTCTCAGGGGATGGGATCAGGGTGATGAGGGAATGGGATCAGGGTGATCCAGGGGATGGGATCAGGGTGTTCCAGGGGATGGGATCAGGGTGTCTCAGGGGATGGGATCAGGGTGATGAGGGAATGGGATCAGGGTGTTCCAGGGGATGGGATCAGGGTGTCCCAGGGGATGGATCAGGGTGATCCAGGGCATGGGATCAGGGTGTCCCAAGGGATGGGATCAGGGTGATGAGGGGATGGGATCAGGGTAACCCAGGGGACGGGATCAGGGTGATCCAGGGGATGGGATCAGGGTGACGAGGGGATGGGATCAGGGTGATCCAGGGGATGGGATCAGGGTGTCCCAGGGGATGGGATCAGGGTGATGAGGGGATGGGATCAGGGTGATCCAGGGGATGGGATCAGGGTGTTCCAGGGGATGGGATCAGGGTGATCCAGGGGATGGGATCAGGGTGACCCAGGGGATGGGATCAGGGTGTCCCAGGGGATGGGATCAGGGTGTTCCAGGGGATGGGATCAGGGTGATCCAGGGGATGGGATCAGGGTGTCCCAGGGGATGGGATCAGGGTGTCCCAGGGGATGGGATCAGGATGACGAGGGGATGGGACCAGGGTGTTCCAGGGGATGGGATCAGGGTGTTCCAGGGGATGGGATCAGGGTGTCCCAAGGGATGGGATCAGGGTGATGAGGGGATGGGATCAGGGTGTCCCAGGGGATGGGATCAGGGTGACCCAGGGGACGGGATCAGGGTGATCAAGGGGATGGGATCAGGGTGACGAGGGGATGGGATCAGGGTGATGAGGGGATGGGATCAGGGTGTCCCAGGGGATGGGATCAGGGTGACCCAGGGGACGGGATCAGGGTGTCCCAGGGGATGGGATCAGGGTGATGAGGGAATGGGATCAGGGTGATCCAGGGGATGGGATCAGGGTGACGAGGGGATGGGATCAGGGTGATCCAGGGGATGGGATCAGGGTGTCCCAGGGGATGGGATCAGGGTGTTCCAGGGGATGGGATCAGGGTGATCCAGTTGATGGGATCAGGGTGTCCCAGGGGATGGGTTCAGGGTGATCCAGGGGATGGGATCAGGGTGTCCCAGGGGATGGGATCAGGGTGATGAGGGAATGGGATCAGGGTGTCCAAGGGGATGGGATCAGGGTGATCCAGGGGATGGGATCAGGGTGTCCAAGGGGATGGGATCAGGGTGATTGAGGGGATGGGATCAGGGTGTTCCAGGGGATGGGATCAGGGTGTCCCAGGGGATGGGATCAGGGTGATCAGGGGATGGGATCAGGGTGATCCAGGGGATGGGATCAGGGTGATCCAGGGGATGGGATCAGGGTGATCCAGGGGATGGGATCAGGGTGTTCCAGGGGATGGGATCAGGGTGATGAGGGGATGGGATCAGGGTGATCCAGGGGATGGGATCAGGGTGATCCAGGGGATGGGATCAGGGTGATCCAGGGGATGGGATCAGGGTGTCCCAGGGGATGGGATCAGGGTGATGAGGGGATGGGATCAGGGTGATCCAGGGGATGGGATCAGGGTGATCCAGGGGATGGGATCAGGGTGATCCAGGGGATGGGATCAGGGTGATGAGGGGATGGGATCAGGGTGTCTCAGAGCACTGTACCAGGGTGTCCCATAGGTCATTGCCTGCACCCGCCCCCCCGCACCCCTTTTCCTGCTCCAGCCCCACCTTGCAGCTGGTTCACTTTGTGAAGCGCCTCCTCCAGCTCCGAGGCTTTCCCCTGCAGCAGAACCTGCACAAGGGAAGGGGCTGGGGGCTCCTCACAGCCCCCAAACGCACCCACTTCGGGGGCACCCCGGGGGGTCCCCAGCATCACCCAGCACCTACCAGCTGCCTCTGGCAGTCATCCCTCTGCCCGTGCGCTTCTGCAAGGGACTGGTTGGTGATGGCCAAAGCCTTCTCCAGGCCCTCCAGCCTCGCAGAGCAGTTCCCGACCATGGCAGAGCCCGTGGCCAGTGGCCAGAGTGCAGTGGGGAGCGCGGCCACCAGCACCACCACTGCCACCCCGAAGGCCAAGGCCATGTACATCCTCCATGGGCGCTTCCTCTGTGGCAGCGGGTTCTTCATCTCGCCCTTCATCCCGGCACAAGCCCCTGGTGCAGGGACGCAGGTGGGAGTTCAGTCCCAAACTCGAGCAGTTTCGCTTCCCTCAAACCGGGATTTTCCAGGAAATCATGTGGTTCCGGGGGAGGTGAACGGCTCCTGGGTCCCCCTTGTGCTAGCGCTGGGACAGGCAGATGCTGCCAGGGGGCAGATACGGGCTGCAGGAGATGGGATATGGGATGTGGATTGTGAGATACGGGGTGAGGGTACGGGAATATGGGGTATGGGAATATGGGATATAGAATACAGATGTGGGATAGATAGATAGATAGATAGATAGATAGATAGATATAGAATACAGAGTGGGATAGATAGATAGATAGATAGATAGATAGATATAGAATACAGAGTGGGATAGATAGATAGATAGATAGATAGATATAGAATACAGAGTGGGATAGATAGATAGATAGATAGATACATATAGAATACAGAGTGGGATAGATAGATAGATAGATAGATAGATAGATACATATAGAATACAGAGTGGGATAGATAGATAGATAGATACATACATATAGAATACAGAGTGGGATAGATAGATAGATAGATAGATACATATAGAATACAGAGTGGGATAGATTAGATAGATAGATAGATACATACAGAATACAGAGTGGGATAGATAGATAGATAGATAGATATCATATAGAATACAGAGTGGGATAGATAGATAGATAGATAGATAGATACATATAGAATACAAGTGAGATAGATAGATAGATAGATACATATAGAATACAGAGTGGGATAGATAGATAGATAGATACATATAGAATACAGAGTGGGATAGATAGATAGATAGATACATATAGAATACAGAGTGGGATAGATAGATAGATAGATACATATAGAATACAGAGTGGGATAGATAGATAGATAGATAGATAGATACATATAGAATACAGAGTGGGATAGATTAGATAGATAGATAGATACATATAGAATACAGAGTGGGATAGATAGATAGATAGATACATATAGAATACAGAGTGGGATAGATTAGATAGATAGATAGATACATATAGAATACAGAGTGGGATAGATAGATAGATAGATACATATAGAATACAGAGTGGGATAGATTAGATAGATAGATAGATACATATAGAATACAGAGTGGGATAGATTAGATAGATAGATAGATACATATAGAATACAGAGTGGGATAGATAGATAGATAGATACATATAGAATACAGAGTGGGATAGATAGATAGATAGATACATACATATAGAATACAGAGTGAGATAGATAGATAGATACATACATATAGAATACAGAGTGGGATAGATTAGATAGATAGATAGATAGATACATATAGAATACAGAGTGGGATAGATAGATAGATAGATACATATAGAATACAGAGTGGGATAGATTAGATAGATAGATAGATACATATAGAATACAGAGTGGGATAGATAGATAGATAGATAGATACATATAGAATACAGAGTGGGATAGATAGATAGATAGATACATATAGAATACAGAGTGGGATAGACAGATAGATAGATAGATAGATACATATAGAATACAGAGTGGGATAGATAGATAGATAGATAGATACATATAGAATACAGAGTGAGATAGATAGATAGATAGATACATACATACATATAGAATACAGAGTGGGATAGATAGATAGATAGATACATATAGAATACAGAGTGGGATAGATAGATAGATAGATACATATAGAATACAGAGTGGGATAGATAGATAGATAGATAGATACATATAGAATACAGAGTGAGATAGATAGATAGATAGATAGATACATATAGAATACAGAGTGAGATAGATAGATAGATAGATACATACATACATATAGAATACAGAGTGGGATAGATAGATAGATAGATACATATAGAATACAGAGTGGGATAGATAGATAGATAGATAGATACATATAGAATACAGAGTGGGATAGATAGATAGATAGATAGATACATATAGAATACAGAGTGAGATAGATAGATAGATAGATACATACATACATATAGAATACAGAGTGGGATAGATAGATAGATAGATACATATAGAATACAGAGTGGGATAGATAGATAGATAGATACATATAGAATACAGAGTGGGATAGATAGATAGATAGATAGATAGATACATATAGAATACAGAGTGAGATAGATAGATAGATAGATAGATACATATAGAATACAGAGTGAGATAGATAGATAGATAGATACATACATACATATAGAATACAGAGTGGGATAGATAGATAGATAGATACATATAGAATACAGAGTGGGATAGATAGATAGATAGATAGATACATATAGAATACAGAGTGGGATAGATAGATAGATAGATACATACATACATATAGAATACAGAGTGGGACAGATAGATAGATAGATAGATAGGGAATACAGATGTGGGATGCAGGACTGGGCAACACGCTGCAGCTCACTGCAGGGGGAGAGCCAGGGAGCTGGGGGGCCACACATGGGGGGTGAAGCTCTATGTAGCTGCCAGTGGGGCCAGTGCTCATGGAGGGGGGGACAGGGCCAAGCATCCCCTGGTAATGGGGGTGTGGGGGGGTTTGGGGGGTGTAAATGTGGTACCCAGAGCACTGGGTGCCGGGGTTATAAAGAATTAGAGGTACATGATAGGGACCCAGGGTATGGGGTACCTGGTGTATGGAGAATTGGGGGTACAGGAAACCCAGGGTACGGGATACTCAGGGTATGGAGAAATGGGGATATGGGGTACACAGGGCATGGGGTACCTGGGGTATGGAGAAATGGGGGTATGGGGAGCCCAAGTTGTGGAGTACATGGGGTATGGAGAAATGGGGTGTGGTTATGGAGTACCTTGGATATAGAGAATTAGGGGTACAGGTTACCTAAGGTATGGGGTACCAGGGGTACAGAGAAATGGGGTTATGGGATGCCCAAGGTATAAAGTAGGGTTTGGGATGCCTGGGCTCAGAGCTACCTTGGGTATGGCTGGAGTGTGGGGTAACCAGGTGGTGGGGGGGCTGGTGGGGGGGTGATGGGGTGGGGGGTACCAGTCTGAAGCACAGCCCCATTCCCTGCCCTGGCTCTGGGTGGGCAATGGGCAGGATCCGACCCTGGCTTCTGGGTCTGTGACATTCAACCCAGGCCAGGCCTTCCCGGGATGTCCCCATCCAGGTTCCCTGGCTGCGGGTAGGGAGGTGCCGGTTCTGGGGAGGAGGATCGGTAATGGGTGGGGAGCCCCCGGCTGTATCCCTGGGGATGCGCTGTGCTGCAGCCACAGCATGGGCTGGGTTGTGGGGAGCCCCCGGCTGCATCCCTGGGGATGCGCTGTGCTGCAGCCACAGCATGGGCTGGGTTGTGGGAAGCCGGGAACGGGGCCTGATGGGGAGAAACCTGAAACGCTCTTTTATTTTCCAGGACCTGGGCTAAAATCCTGGTGTTTTTAATGCTTTTCCTGCTGACGTTCCTTAGGAGGGAAACAGCGCCCAAGGGAAGGCAACGCTGGCAGGGCCAGCGCGGCCCTGAAGGACCCCGGAGCGCTTGGGCGGGTGGGGAGAGGCACATTCCCGGCTCCTTTCCCTACCACTGCGTGGGGCTGGGAGGAGATGGGCGGCACGGGATGCGGGATGCAGTGTTTGGGCATGGGAGATGTGATATAGAGGGTGGATGGGGATGCTCGTGTAGGATGGGAGATGTCAGATGCAGGGTGTGGAATATGGGGTGCAGGATATAGAATGTGGGATGTAGGATATGGGATATAGAATATAGGATATGGGATATGGAATGTGGGATATGGGGTATAGGATGCGCGTATGGAATGTAGGATATGGGGGCAGGATATGGGATATGGGATATAGAATATAGGATACGGGATATGGAATGTGGGATATGGGGTATAGGATGTGGGTATGGAATGTAGGATATGGGATATAGAATATAGGATATGGGGTATGGAATGTGGGATATGGGGTATAGGATGTGGGTATGGAATGTAGGATATGGGGGCAGGATATGGGATATGGGATATAGAATATAGGATATGGGGTATGGAATGTGGGATATGGGGTATAGGATGTGGGTATGGAATGTAGGATATGGGGGCAGGATATGTGATATAGAATATAGGATATGGGGTATGGAATGTGGGATATGGGGTATAGGATGTGGGATGTAGGGTATGGGGTATAGGATGTGGAATGTGGGATATGGGAATATGGGGTATGGGATGTGGGATGCAGGGTATGACATGTGGAATGTGGGATATGGGATGCAGAATATAAGATATATGTGATGTGGAATGTGGGATATGGGGTGCAGGGTGTGGGATATGGGGTGCAGGGTATGGGATATGGGACACATATGGGATACAGAGTGTGGGATGCAGGACTGGGCTGGCCCCGGCTGCCCCTGAGTCACAGCAGAGCTGCTCACCCAAACACATCCAAGTCCAAACGATCCGAACAAAGCCAAGGTGGCACCTACAGGGATGGGCTGGTGCCACCTCCCTGTCACCCCCGGCACAGCACCCTGGCACTGGAAGCCCATCCCTAGGGATGCTCCGGCCGCTGCCTCCAGA